CTGAAATAGGCTCCAGGCTCTGAGCTGGCAGTCAGCACAGAGCNGACTCTGAAATAGGCTCCAGGCTCTGAGCTGGCAGTCAGCACAGAGCCCGACGCGGGGCTCGAACCCACAAACCGCGAGATCATGACCTAAGCGAAAGTCGGACGCTTAACCGACTAAGCCACCCAGGCGCCCCTCTTTCTGGATTTCTAACTGCCATAAATACTCGAATTGGCGCTTTAAACAATCCCTCTCTTCCTTTTAGTGATTGGTTAAACTCTTGGACTGGAGGATTTTTGTCAACTACAGAAGGGCTTTTATTTGGGCTTCTCTTTATCATTATTTTAATTGTGTTTTGCTGTTTCTCCCATGTCTCTCTCTGCCTGGTGCAAGGCTCCATCACTGCAGTAACTTCAAGCCAACAGATGATTCTTTCTACTCAAGGAGGTTCATCCATGTTGTCCACCGGGGATTCAGCTGCCTCTAGTTTTGTATCTCCCCTGTATGTTCCCTGAATGATCAATGTTGACCCATATGTAGGGACATCTCTATGCCCTTACTTGGCAGGAAGAAGCTACAGAAGATGAGACCTTCCACCTTCAGCAAACTTAAAGATTTAAGGGTCAGAATTAAATTATTCTTCTCAGGGAAGATATGATGAGGGAACGTGGGGCGGGCTGAGGACAGAATGCAAGCTAGCACCCCCCGCCCCCCTCCCCCCAGGTAGGATGTGTATGATATTCCTCAGACACTCCTGGCTGCCCAAGGACAAAGGAAGGGAAAGAAAACAAATGGTTAACCAATCGAGATCACGGTCATACAGGTCATGGGTCCCCATCAGTTTGCAAATATCTTAGTAAATTATAAGAAAAAGGCAATCTTAATCAAAAGCCTAATGTCCATAAACCTGTAGGCTCAGTTAGTTTCCTGGAGTCCCAATGTTGGGGAAATCTGGTCTGGATCACTGGCAGAAGAACCAAACAACACTTGGAGATCTTGGAAGGCAGGACGTTTATTTTACACCAGTGGGCTCAGAGACCATTCTCCAGAGCTCTGAGCCCAGAGCATCAGCAGAGGGAGTAATTTATAGCCTGCTACCTCCACAATCCTCATTAATGCATGAGATAAGCAGTGTGGGAAGAAGAACCTGGAAGAGGGAGGCTTTGATCAGGTCCACGTATTTCCTTATCAGTCCTCCAGGCCACCTGATAACAGATTTTCCCCTATTACCAACATCACCCCTTAGTGATGTGGAGAACAAAGGCAAGAAGGAAATGGCAAGTGAAGTTAAATTTCCTTATAACCTGCAGCCCATTGATAAATACTTGAGGCAAATACAGAGCATAAACATTTCTCCAGGAACCCCCCCTACTGTCCTACGGTTAATGCCTTACTAGAGGGAAAATGACCTTAGCTTGACAACCGCAAGGCTTTGGGTATCTTAGGAGTCCACTTTAGCATATCGAAGTCCCTCTGGAGGCCACCCTTTTGACTTAACCCCCCAACTCCTGAGTGTATAACAGCCACTCTTCACACCCCAGTGCAGCTCTTCCTGCCCACCCGATCCTGTGCCCATGCTTTAATACAATGACCCTTTTGTACCAAAGACGTCTTCAAGAATTCTTTCTTGGTCATCAGCTCCGGACCCCCCCCCCCCATCATCCCCAAACCTCATCAGTACTAGTGTTGTATATTTCCAAGGCTGGTTGCAGAAAACAACTCTTACTGTATTTGCAAAATAGAAGAGGTGGGGAGTCCATTAACATTTTCTTCAGACACGTTATGGTCTCGATTATATGTGGAATCTAAAACAAACACCCCAAACCCCTAGAAAAAGAGATCAGACTTGTGGTTAGTGGGGGTGGGTAAGGAGGGAGAACTGGACGGAGGTGTGCAAGAGGCACACACCTGTGCTGTGAGGAAAGAAAGGACCGGGGTGCAATGCACAAGGCCCATCTACAGGAACCGTGTGGGAGGGAAGGTACAGGAGCTGGTAAGGGGTCAGTCCTAGCAGTTGTCATCACAAACATCGTTTTCTTTGTCTGTTTCTATCTACAGGAGATACTGCATGGTGACTAACGTATCGTGGTGACCACTTCACAACATACATAAGTCAGATTATTATGCTGAACACCTTAAACTTACACAGGGCTGCGTGTCAATTGTATCTTAATAAAACGGGGGGAAGTTTTTCTTCAAAAATTCATGCGTCGAGTTTGGAGATGGAGGAGAACATTATTAAAGAATTAAAAGCAGGCTCCAGGCTCTGAGCTGTCAGCGAAGAGCCTGATGCAGGGCTCGAACTCGTGAACCATAAGATCATGACCTGAGCTGAAGTTGGATGCTCAACCAACTGAGTCACCCAGGTGCCCACCCTATTTTTTTAAAAACTTTTTATTTTTTAATTTTTATTAATTTTTAATGTTTTATTTATTTTTGAGAGAGAGAGAGAGAGAGAGCATGAGTAGGGGAGGGTCAGAGAGAGAGGGAGACACAGAATCCGAAGCAGGCTCCAGGCTCTGAGCTGTCAGCACAGAGCCCAACGCGGGACTCAAACCCATGAACCGCGAGATCATGACCTGAGCCAAAGTCAGACGCTTAACCGACTGAGCCACCCAGGTGCCCCCCTTTTAAACTTTTTAATGTTAATTTATTTTTGAGAGAGAGATAGAGTGCAAGCAGGGCAGGGGTGGAGAGAGAGGGAGATACAGAATCTGAAGCAGCCTCCAGGCTCTGAGCTGTCAGCACAGAGTTTGATGTGGGGCTTGAACCCATGAACCGTGTGATTGTGACCTGAGCTGAAGTCGGTGCTTAACCGACTGAGCCACCCAGGCACCCAGGTTACCCTCTATTTTTAATTTTTAGAGGAGACTCCACAGTGTTTCCCATAGTGACTGCATCAATTTACATTCCCACCAGTAATGCTTAAGGGTTCCCTCTTCTCCACATTCTCCACATCCTCACCAACACTTATTTCTTGTCTTTTTGATACTAGCCATTCTGACTGGTATGAGGTGATATCGTGGTTTTGATTTGCATTTCCCTGATGATGAGTGATATTTCATGTGTCTGTTGGCCATCTGTATGTCTTCTTTGGGAAAATGTCTAAATAGGTCCCCTGCTCATTTAATAATTTGATTATGTGGGGTTTTTTTCTTTTTTGGTGTTGAGTAGTATGAATTACTTATAAATTTTGGATATTAATCCCTTATCAAAGATATCATTTGCAAGTATTTTTCTCCTATTCTTTTTTTAATATTTAGTTTTGACAGAGAGAGAGAGAGAGAAAGAGAGAAAGCCAAAGTTGGATGCTCAGCCAACTGCGCCTCCCAGGCATCCATCTTTCTCCTATTCACTAGGTGGCCTTTTTGTTTTGTTGATCTTTATTCATTTTTGAATCCAGGGATTGATGGTAAGTACTTCAAAACACTTGCTGGACACTAAGCTATGGAAGATAGACTTGAGTGGCTATACATGACAAAGAATGCAGATGTTATGGAAAACAGTATGGAGGTTCCTCAAAAAATTAAAAACAGAAATACCATACAATCTAGTAATTCCACTACTGGTTATTTACCCAATGAAAACGAAACACTAATTTGAAAAGATATATGTATTTCTGTGTTTATTGCAGCATTATTTACAATATCCAAGATATGGAAGTAATATAAGTGTCCATCAATAGATGAATGGGTAAGGAAGACGCTACACACACACACATACACACAGCATGTAACACTATTCAAACCATAAAAAAGAATAAAATCTTCCCATTTGCAACAACATAGATGGACCTAGAAGGTATTAGGTTAAGTGAAATACACCAGACAGAGAAAGACAAATACCATGTGATTTTACTTATATATGGAATTCAAAAAACAAACAAATCAGAAACAGACTCATAAATACAGAGAACAAACTGGTGGTTGCCAGAGGGGAGGGGGGTGGGTACATGGGCAAAATAGGTGAACGGGGATTAAGAGGTACACATTTCCAGTTATAAAATGAATGAGTCGGGGGTGCCTTGCTGGCTCAGTTGGTAAAGAATGTGACTTTTGAACTTGACGTCGTGGGTTTGAGTCCCACATCTGGGGTCGAGTTTACTTAAAAAGAAATAAATAAAATAAATGAGTCATGGAGATGAAAGGTACCACATGGGGAATATAGTCCATCATATTATAATAATTCTATATGGTGGCCAAAGACATCTATACGTTTTGTGGTGAGCATTTCATGTTGAATATAATTGTCAACTCACTAAGTTATAGAACTGAAACTGATAGAATATTGTATGTCAGATACAGTGAACTCTTATTTACTTTTTTTGTATTTATTTTCATTTAATACTGAAATTTAGAGAAATTAACACAGATATTGCAACAATAGCTTAGAAAGTCACTAAATAAGCAAACTGCAGCAGCCCAAACAACTAGTAACAACAAACCTAGAAGAGGGGAGAAAATGTGTCTTCTAAAGTTGTCAGATCCTAATATTCAGAATGTCTGGTTTTCAACAAGAAATCCAAGGAACAAGAATTCTAAAATCAGATGGAATGATAAGGGAATCTAAATAGCCAAAATAATCTTTAAAAAGAAAAGAAAAGTTGTAGGACGCTGATGTCTAAATTTCAAAATGTACTACAAACCTACAGTAATCAAAACAGTGCAACAGCATTATACTGGCATAGAGAGTGTCATACAGATCCATGGGACAGACTTGAGGAATCAGAAACCAAAAATAAACCCACATGTCTATGATCAATTGATTTTGGATAAGCGTGCCAAGACATTCAACTGGGAAATAATGGTCTCTTCAGGAAAGATGGACAACTAGATATCTATATGCGAAAGAATGAAGTTCGAGGGGCGCCTGGGTGGCTTAGTCGGTTGAGCGTCCGACTTTCGCTTGGGTCATGATCTAGCGGTTCGTGGGTTCGAGCCCCGCGTCGGGCTCTGTGCTGACTGCCAGCTCAGAGCCTGGAGCCTGTTTCAGAGTCTGTGACTCCCTCTCTCTCTGACCCTCCCCTGCTCACGCTGTCTCTCTCTCTCTCCTAGAAATAAATAAAACATTAAAAAAAAAAAGAATGAAGTTCGAAACATACCTCACATTATATACAAAAACTAGCTGAAAATGGACAAAATATCTAAATATAGGAGTTAAAATTTCACAACTCTCTTATGTATAGTTATATAAAAACTCATATATGTATATGAAGAGAGAGGGAGGGAGAGGGAGTTGTAAGAATATAAAACTCCTTTTCTTCAGGAGAAAACAGGGAAAAACTCATGATCTTGGATTTGGCAATGGATTCTTTTTTTTTTTTTAATGTTTATTTTTGAGAGAGAAAGAGTGTGAGCAGGGGAGGGCAGAGAGAGAGGCAGACACAGAACCCAAAGCAGGCTGGACTCTGAGCTGTCAACACAGAGTCCAAAGTGGGGCTCGAACTCACAAATCATGAGATCATGACCTAAGCCAAAGTCAGATGCTTAACTGACTAAGCCACCCAGGTGCCCCGGCAATGGGTTCTTCAATATGACACCAAAGCATAATAGCAACAAAAGAAAAATTACATCAATTGGCTTTCATCAAAATTAAAAACTTTGTGCATCAAATGACACTATTAAGATACTGAAAAGACAACCAACCCAATGAGATAAAATATTTATAAATCATGTATCTGATAAGAGTAGTTTCCAGGGGTGCCTGTGTGGCTCAGTTGGTTAAGTATCCAACTCTTCATTTCGGCTCAGGTCATGATCTCACCGTTTGTGAGATCCAGCCCCTCGTCTCTGCACTGACAGTGTGGAGCCTGCTTGGGATTCTCTCTCCCTCTCTCTCTGCCCCTCCCCTGCTCTCTCTCACATGCTCTCTCTCTCCAATAAAAAAACTTAAAAAAAAACCTTAAAAAAAGAGTATAGTTTCCAGAATACACAAAGAACCCTTACAACTCAGCAGTGAAAAAATAAACCACCAAATTACAAATAGGCAAATGGTTAAATAGTTTTTCCCAGGAATATGTACAAATGGCCAACAAGCATGAAACGATGCTCAGTATCATTAGTCATTAGGGAAATGTAAATTAAAACCACAACGAGACACCATCTCACATCCACTAGGATGTCTATAATTTATTATTATTTTTTGAATAACATTTTTATTCTACTTCTGGCATTTTCCAGAGGACAGGGAAGGCTGCTACTGTCACAAGCTCATGACTTACTGCCCCTAATTCAGCACCAGCAAAAACTGTACATGGTTAATAAACTGAAAAACAAGATTGAGTTAGTGTTGGCCTTCCTGAAAACAAGTGCCAGGTTAGGTAGATTTAACATTTCCTTTCTTGTGAGATGAAGATTAAAGATTGACAACCACTCACCCATGAGTCTAAACTGTCCCGCTGCCCTTCAGTGAACTGAGCTCTGCCACAACTGCTACCATGCATGTAGGATGTCTATAATTAAAAAAAAAAAAAAGGGATATAGTAAGTGCTGGTGAGGATTTGAAGAAACTGGAAGCCCCCACACGGCTAGTAGGAATGTAAAATGGTACAGTTGCTATATTGGGCAGTTCCTCAAAAATTTAAACATAGAATTGCCCAGTGACCCAGCAATTCCAATTCTACGTATATACCTGAAAGAATTAAAAATGGGTAATCGAACAAATAATTGTACATGAATGTAGATAGAAGCACTATTCACAACAGGCAAAAGATGGTGATAGCCCAAGTGCCCATCCACTGAGAAATGGATAAACAAAATGGGGCCTATTCACATAATGGAAGATTATTTCAACTCAAAAAAGGAATAAAGTACTACCACTTGCTACAAATGGGATGAACTTCAAAAACCTTATGCTAAGTGAAAGAAGTCAGACAGAAAAGGTCACATATTTTAGACTGCATAAATATTAAATATCCAGAAGAGACAAATTTATAAGAGACAGGAAATAGACAAGTGGTTGTGGGGGGGGGGCTGCAGGAGGAAGGGGTTGGGGGAATGACTGCTAAATGAATAAGGGGGTTCATTTTGGGGTGATGACTAAGCTTTGAAAGTAGATGGTGGTGATGGTGGCAGAATATTGTGAATTGAGGCGCCTGGGTGGCCCGGTCGGTTGAGCGTCTGACTGGGCTCAGGTCATGATTTCACGGGTTTGAGTTCAAGCCCCACTGTCAGCAAAGAGCCCACTTTAGATCTCTGTGCTCCTCTCCCTTTCTCTGCCCTCCCCTCCTTACATGCTCTCTCTTTCTCAGAAATAAATAAACATTAGAAAAAAGAGAGAGAACAGGGGCGCCTGAGTGGCTCAGTCGGTTAAGCATCAGGCTTCAGCTCAGGTCATGATCTCATGGTTTGTGGGTTTGAGCCCCACATCCGGCTCTGTGCTGACAGCTCAGAGCCTGGAGCCTGCTTCAGTTTCTGCGTCTCCCTCTCTCTGTGCCCCTCCCCCAGTTGTACTCCGTCTCTCTCTCTCAAAAATAAGTATTAAAAAATTTAAAAAAAGAGAGAGAACATTGTGAATGTACTAAATGCCACTGAGTTGTGTACTTTAAAGTGGGTAATTTTATGTTATTTGAATTTTTACCACATCTTTAAAAAATGATATAAGAGAAAAATACTCATTATGGAAAGACTGTGATAAAGGGCACAAGTGGAATACGATGTGGGACAAGGCATCAGTTTGAATGTTATGAGCCTTTTATATGTCCTGTGTTCCCCCATTTCAATCCCACTGTCCTGAATTCTAGATTGTGGTTTGAGCACATACTGAGGAAACTGGCAATAATAGAATGAACATTGACAATGAAAACCTGAGGGTATAGAGGGTCTAAATCTAAAATTAGGTAACTAATCCCTTTGTATTTTTTGTTATTCCTGAAATTTGTTTCAAATCTTGAATTGTGGCAGGCTTGATGGTATTTTTTTTTTCCCTGTGGATAAATAAGGGCTAATATCCAGAGTTCAAGATCAGGTGTAGCTTAAAACCACATGCTATGTTTGGCCTTAAGGTTTTTACACTGAAATTAATGCAGATAATGCCAAGTAAGACTTTAAATGAGCACTAAACATGGGACCTGTGTCAAGGCACCATTCCATCTAATGTCTCATGGTAGTTAAATCCCTGAGAATAGTGAGGAGGACCTGGGAAGCCAGATATTACAATTACAAACAGCCAGTTTCTCTGCACAGAATATGTGATCATTGAATCACTATATTGTGCACCTGAAACTAATACAACATTGTACATCAACTAAACGTTAAGAGTAATAATTTTTTAAAGAAATTAAATTAAATTAAAAACATCCAGTTTTCCGCTAGCATCTTGCACTATGAAAATACACAACAAAGAATAAGAAAAAGAATACACTGACCTCCATCAAGGAACATACCTGGAAGTAGTTTCAAAAATTGCTATTTAGATGAGCAAATCAGAGGACTCTAGATGCTGGCGAGGATGTGGAGAAATGGGCACCCTCCTACACTGTTGGTGGGAATATAAACTGGTGCAGCCCCTCTGGAAAACAGTGTGAAGATCCTCAGAAAATTAACAATAGAACTCCCCTATGACCCAGCAATAGCGGCTGCTGGGAATTTACAGGAGTGCTGATGCATAGGGGCACATGTACCCCAATGTTCATAGCAGCACTCTCAACAATAGCCAAAACATGGAAAGAGCCTAAGTGTCCATCAATGGATGAATGGATCAAGAAGATATGGTTTATCTATACAATGGAATACTACATGGCAGTGAGGACCATGGGGGAGAAGAAGGGGAAAAATAGTGGGAGAGAGGGAGAGAGGCAAACCATGAGAGACTCTTGAATGTCGAGAACAAGAGGGGGCAGATGGGGTGGGGAGAGGGGGAGGGTGGTGATGGGCATGGAGGAGGGCACTTGTGGGGATGAGCACTGGGTGTTATATGGAAACCAAGTTGACAATAAACTATTTAAAATAAAAAAATAATAAATAAAAAAACTGCTATTTAGGCTGCATATCTAGTCAGTAGCCTAGTGAGTCTGAAACCCTCTAACCTGAGAAGATGGCCAATCCTTGGCAGGAATGTACAGATTCTGCAGTAATCTTAGCAAGGCAGGCTGGATAGGTGGTTCTCCAAGCTCTAAAAAAGGAAGTGAATGTTATGGTTAAAAGTTTCCCATTGATTTGCTAACTGAAACTACACAAAACATTGCGGGGGGGGGGGGATGCTTATCTGTTTCTTATCAAACTCGCTATTTCATTTCATAGCAACTGGATTATATTCAGGTTCTAAATATTCCTAAATGGTCTTTGGCTTATCAAACTCAAAGGAAAAACGGTTCTGAATATTTTAAAACGTTAATTTACTGTCTAGCCCTGTCCCTTGGCACATGAACAGACTATTAAGTATTATTATAGGCTCACGTGAGCCTTGTATTTGATAACACGTAAAGGGAACCGACAAAATTTTCATGGGAGGCGGTGATTTTATTGGTGTGTACGTTTAACATATTAAATATAAATGATACAAAGATTCGACGATTTTAATTACTGATTTGGACTGCGGGTCATGTGTAGTAAAAACGGTTCATACTGTTAAAAAACAAAAACAAAAAACCTGCTATTTACAACACGCCAGGATCCTGGAGTCAGAACCGAAGATGGTACCCAGACCGCTCCCGAAAACACACCTGGACGGGGAGACGTCGGATTGGCCTCCGGAGCCCGGGTGGAGGCCCACAGCGAGAGGCTGAGGCCGTGCGGGTCTCCGCTGGGAGGAAGAAGGTGAGTCACAGCGGTGGCTACGCAGATCGCCCGCGGCTTGGCGGC